AATTACACCTTTGACATAATATTGAATTGCATTTTTTCCTTCAAGCTCTACATTCTAATTTGAATTTTGAGCATATTTTGTGTTATAGCTCCTCCTTCTGAAGCACAAAATGAAAAATATTTGATTGTATAAGATAGTGTCAAAAGGTAAGTGATTTGCTGCTACAATTTAACTGACAGTAAGTTTCTCGATCCCACATAATTACGGTAGGAGGAAATTTTATAAAAAGATTTTTTAGACCTATTGCTCATATTAAAGATGAAAAAGCTTTGTACATTTCTAAACAGGCTGAGTTTTCTATAATCTGGCATTTCATTCCAGATTTTGAAGTGAGATAATCTCTGGTAATGTCTAAACAAACCTGTTACCTTGATTATCTGACTTCATCTGAACATTAGAACTATTCTGGACAAATGTATCTTGAACAATTTCCTAAGATAAGCATATTCAAGTTTCCCTTATTTGAAGATTTTTTTCAGATTTTTTTTCTATACCGGTATCTGATTAATGTGTTCTTAAGTCAAGCATTGTTGATTTCCTTTAATTTTTCTCTCCTCCCAGAAATACCAGCTTCAAATTTTTGCTGGCTTATGATAAACTGAAGATAATTTAAGAAAAAAAAATGTAATGGATCTCCTAATGTACTTTGTTGGTCAAATCTTCTGTCAAGCTACTACTAGTGAAAATCTGGGGACAAATTCCTGTTTGCAGATCTTGGTTGTTCCCTGTTGTTACTGCTATTTGCTGTAATGACTGTGACATCTGAATCAAAACCTTATTGAACTCTAAAGAGCACTCCTGCAGTGATTCATCATTGTCACAAAGTAGGCATAGAGTTTCTTTTTTGAGTCACTGTCATCACATATGAGTAGAACTGCATGTGACAGAACTATCAGAGAAAGAAAGAATACAGGAAATAACCATTCACCCTACTTGTTGTTTCAGTTCCTTGAGACAGCCTTGGGGCAAGTTAGTCTTTATGTGAGGCAGTACTAGGTACACTGGATTGCAAACCTGATCTTCAGGTCAGTTTTGAATCCAGCTGGCTGATTTGTGCCATAGGCCACTCAGTTGGGTCTTAGTAGACCATGGCCTTCTGGTTTAGTTTTCACCAAAGAAATGGCAGGTGAGGTCAGACCTGCTGTTTTGAAGGTTTTGGAATATTTCTGGCTGCTGTTAGAGAAGCTGTTGCATTTCAATTCAGAGTACTAGCTGACGGAATTTCTAAATTGCTATGTGCATGCATGTGCACAAACTGCAGTGCATAGCTGTGGTGTTGGAGAAATCAGAAGCAAACAGTCTTTATACTCACTAGTAGAAGCACCCTAAAATCAAAAGTCCTGTCTGGAGGCAAAGTAACTACATCCTCAGAGCAGAAACCAACAACTATTAAACAATTAAAAAAAAAAAAGGCTGGACTTCACAGGACACACACAGTGTAACACTTTCCATGATTATTAGAGGTCTCCAAATGAAGTGGTTAGTAGCAAACATCCTGCATACTAAGAATTGACCACTTCTTATGTGCTATACCTGCTTCATGATTGCAAATGGACTTCTTACCTTTGCTATTGAACTCTGATGCTTCTAAACCGCTACACAAAATAACAAAAGATTAGTCTCTGGTTAACTTAAGCCATAATTAAATTTTGTCTACTATCACAGGATAATTATAAGCTCAGCATGACACACAGAGAACTATAATTTCACAGATGAAGAAAACAGGGAGAAAAATATACTGTGAAGGAGAAAAGCTGTTCACATTAAAAGAATAAGGATTAGAAGTCAAAATTCACCAAGTTGTTGGTAAAATAGATTGGTTTTGCACACATCTTTTCCCCCACCTTTCCATCCACATGACAATCTTGTGTTCAACGTGTTAAAACTCAAAAGATGAGTAAGGTCTAGGAAGGAGCATGGCATGAGCTCAAAGCATACAGTAGCAATTGTCTTGTGATAAAACATCAAAACTTGTTAATCAGAGAGGATTTAGGCACTAAGAACACATTCATCCCTGCACTGCTGTGACATAATGAGAATTAGCATACTGTACAAACACTTGTTTAGCATCTGAACTACTGCAGTTTAAAGTGGAGACATAAGGCTGTTTTTAGGTCATAAAATAACATAATTGAGAAACAGAGTAGGTGCCCTGTTGAGTTATAATGAACTGTCTGTGTAATGCAATACATACAGAAATCCATACAGAACAAGGAGTAGTATTGAGCAAAATGTGCATTCAGACGTGTGATGATGTCAATCCTACTTCATCTTTTTAAGTATTTACAGAGTTTACAGTATTTGGAACTGATCAGTTGGTGTAATAGCAATATATTAATTTCTGCAGCCAAGTTCATTAGATTTGACTAGTGTTTGTTTTACAACACAAGATGAATTAACATATGCATCTGTGTAATGCTTGTTGTCTGCACTTAATGATAATACATTGCAACAGCAACTTGAGGAAAAATACATTAAATACAAACATACACACACAAAAGTGACAGTATATTAATTGGTTGAAAGCAACCTGAAAATAAGAAAAAACCCAGTTGCGTAAATTATTAAATACTATTTATTTTTAAGCAATTCTATATCAGAATGAAGTGGTCTGAGACTCTGAATGAGACAAGAATTTAAGAAACTATGGGAAAATGGTTCAGTGATGGCATTAAAATTACCATTACATAGAGAGAGGCTAAAAGTTCCTGGCCCAGATACCCACATATGAACATAGGGGTTCAATTCCAGTAGAAATTGTAAGAGAGAATTATTTTCTTTTCATCCACTTAGACTTACACAGGACTTAAAGTAACCCAAAATTTCTTTTTATAAAGGAGGACTGAGACAGCCATTTTATCTGCCTGTCTGAGGATCTGTACACACCCAGTGCCTTACCTGTGGGAAATAAATGGGAACTGAAACAATCTCAATTTTTTCCAGGCATCATCAGCTCATGAGAGCAGGACCTGACTTTTTTACTGGCCTCCAATGCAACTCATTTTGTGACACTTTTTCTGTATGTAAGTCTCATCTCCACTTCAACTACATTTTACACTAGGATAGCAGTAGTTCGTTTAAAATAATATTAGAACAAAGTCTCAATGAAAATACTTCAACAGCAGTAGTTAGAGCCAAAAAACCCCAAAACTAAAAGGTTCCCACCATCACTGTTTGCTAAGTATGTGCTTTATGAGCATGAATGACTTGCTTCTAAGCCTAGTAAATTGGAGTGCAGCATTCACAACTCCTACAACTCATCAAGCCAGTGGTTAGTTAAGTCTAGGACATGTTATCCCAGTTCGTACTTTTAAAGAGAGTTATATTTCTAGTAATCACAGAAAAGACAACAGTAACTTAACTTTAAATAAAAAATGAAATACCCACACAGACATGAGAAAGGCAACCTCCTTAAACTGCCCAGTACAGGATATAAGGCTAATGACACAGTCTTAAGATCAGCTTTGGTACTCCCAGGCTTCGGTACTTCCCGAAACATATTGTTGCCAACAACTGCAAATAAACTGTAGGCAAGCAACCTGGCAGTGCCATGGCCAGAAATCAGACAGGGTGGAGGCTGGATTGGACTCCTACCAAATAGATGGAAAAGCAAAATTTGGGCAGGCACAAGGACAACTTGCTAGAATTTGATTTTCTTGTGGATGTCACTTGGCTTTATCTTCCTTCTGATTGGAGGGGTTGTTTTGAACCAGAGAATGAAGTGATAGTATCAACAGGAAAAGATAAGGTATTGTCCTAAGGACTAATTGCACAGCTTGACTTTCTAATTTGTTAGAATAGATAAAAATTCCTCACAAAGGGGAACACAGGCTTAAAACTGATGGCAGATTTTTCTCCCTCATTTTTGAATAATAACATGAAGTAGAGACAATCATTATCTAATTGTAGACTATTTGTTAGTCAAAAAATTAGTTGAACAAACTGTTCTTTCTATTACATAAGTTAAAGTTAAAATAAACATATGCACCCCATGGAAAATTATTGTTAAGGTATTTATGACTGCAGGATATCTAGTAAGTACTAAAAATAAAATGAAAACTCTATAACTTATAATCTCTCTTTTTAAATATGTAGCTACATGATGTATGTGGTCCTTGGGCAACCTGGTATAAGATTGTGGTCAGCCCTGCTTTGTGCAGGGGGTCGGATAAAGTGATCTCCAGAGCTCCTTATAACCTAAATAGTCCTTGACTTCTATCAAATGCCCTCAATTAATAAGGTTATGTCAGACTACTTTTAGACCTAAAAATCAATCTCAGGTCTAACAGCAGGAATGGGCTCAGACTTTAGTGGAAAGGACAGAAGTCCTTTCTGAGCACCACAGTTTATTCTCATCCTCAGGTTGCCTCATCTTCATGTTGCTCCTTACTACCTAACCCTGTAACAGCACACGGTTTAAGCTTGCTCCTATTTATCTGCAAGCACCAAGTGGATGTGCAGCCCCTGAACAGTCTGAACCATAATGTAACACGATCCTGTGTGACAAATAAAGGCAGTCAGAATGAGGGCACAACAGGGAGCCTGTCCTCCCTCTTCTTTATTTCCCTCCAACTCAAACGCATCCACGTGAACACAACAGCACTCTTCCATCTGCTCAGGGAGCTGCTCTCTTCTCCTACCACCCTCCCTCTGCACACATATGCGCTTGCATGTGGACTGCACACTCCAGAAGGCAGACACCACTGGATTTTAATCCCCCCCCCAATTCTCTGATGGATTAAACCTCAAATCTCTAACCCTCCTTCTTTTAATGCTGCATTAAGTAACACACATATTGGTTACACTGATTTACGGCTGAAATAGAAGTGAAAGACAGACAAAATGAGATGTCTGAAAATCAATCTATGCTGCAAGTAGATGAGACATCAAAGCATTCTGGATTATTTTCTATACCCTTCACTTTGCCCAGTGCCTGATGAAGCAAAAATGACTGTCTGTAGCGATAAAAGTTGCAAGTACATGTGTTACCCTCCGCTTACCTGTAACCCTTCAATGGCCAGTTTGAGGATAGATGGTGTAAGCTTGGAGGCTTGCTTGAAAGAGAAGTTGCTCCAGTCTATAATTAGAATGAAGCCATTTATCTGAAGCTCCTGATCTTCGATGAGGACTTCTAAGGAAAGTAGAATAGCCCGAAGGATATCTATGAAGGAGTTCCTAAAGCCAAAGTAGAAAAAAAAAATCAATGGTTGCAGTTATCTTCAAACCTCAAGATACTCAGCTTTGCTGTGGATGTGGCATGAGCGAGGTACATGGATTCATTCTGGCAGAATTCTTCTAAAAAGAGAGTTGTTTCAGAGATGTCATTAAAGAGCTCCTGCTCTAAAACTCACATTTCCCTCTTCAGTGTGATAAATCTTGCTCACTGGTGGACAAAATAAACACGGAATGAGATCTTCTCAATTCTTCTGGCATTCCTTACAATAGATTTTAGTTAAGCTACATTGGTAAACTATTTGTCTGTGGCGAAATGAAACAGATTCAAGCTATCAGTTTAAACTCTTGCTCGTTTGGATATACTTTACCATTTTTCCTTGTTCGTCTCCCTTCTTTTCAGAAAAGGGAATAAATGAGTACAACAAAAGTATAAAAGACACGGTTACAACTAGGTTCTGTGTCTTCCTGTTTGAGTGGAGGGAATAATCCAAGGCTTTGCACAATAAAGTTTGACTGTTGCCTTATTTCTGCAAACCAAATGCAACATGAAAAATGATTGCACCCACTTAAAATGGGAACTCTTTATTAATTATCAGCTACAATAAGTTGGCCACAAGGCTTCCCTCAGCTCTGGGAGAATAATTAAAAACCTTGGAGGCGCTGAAGGATATAGCAAGTAATGGAGAAGAAAATGTTGAAATGTTTTCTTCAATGTCCAAGTCTGTACTGGGAAGCCTGGGCCACTTTCTACTTCTGCCTCATGCATTTTACAAAACAGTTGGACACTTTAATGACTTAGTCCATATTTTCACCTGAGTAAGGTGAATCAGGCGGTTCTCCTCATCTGTCCTTCCCATTAAGATGATTTACAGGAATAGATTCTTTTAAAGAGCAAGAAATAAAGAAAACTTCAGAAATTACAGCTTAACCTTGTCTAAAATGAAATTGTAACATACTGCTAGTGCAATCCGCTTTACCTCTGCATAATTCTCAAGTTTTGATGAGGCCTGAGGCGTCTTACAGGGAAGGTTCACACCATGTTCTCCCATGGAGATTTTAATTTAGTCCTTTTCTGCTGTTTTCTTTACTTTAAAACAAGTCCTCTAAGTCTTCAAGAGCGTTGCTTCAAATTCTGCTTGAGATAAAAAACCTATGTGCAGTTGAAACAAACTTCTGTGCCATCAAGACCTCTACCCCTGAATAGCATCAACATATGGTAAATTTCTATCAGAAGAAAAAGGTGAAGTGTTTTCTTACTCTTTTCTCTTAGTATGTTTTGAGTGGAAATGTACGTTCTTTCTCTAAAGACCTGGTTCCTTGAAAAAGCTGCTTCTGAACTCTGCCTTTCTGTAAAAGTTAGAAGTTTCTCTGAAGTATAATTGCTGAGACAATAAATAGAGCTTCGAGATATTTAATTTTGTTGCTGCTGGGTACCAAATCACCCCTCCCTCATTTACAGTTACAGGACAACCTTGATCTTTTCAAATCCTGTGGGGAAGTTGTGCTAAACAGAAAAATTGAGAAAGTATTTCCTTAGCAATGTAAGGTGAAGGTCTACTGATTGGACTGCCACTTGACATTTATTTTTAGTCTAAATTTATTTTGAAAAACTCTGATATACTACCTATTGCCCAGCTGAAACAAATGATGTCTTTCAAGCAGCATCATCAGATGACTATACTCTCAAAGGTGAAAAATCAAATATACCACTGGACCTATCTACTTAATATATCCTACACTACTCTGGCATCCCTCTTCAAGGTGGTCAGCCTTCCATAAGAACTGTCCCATGGAAGCTCCCAGAGATGTGCAGTAGCTCCAAAAGCATGCTCACACACATGCCAGCCTTCTTTGCACTCCTATGTTATCAGTGCAGAATAATATCATCATCCATGGATGGGCTCTCTGGCTAGACTGGGGAAGATGGAATAATCCTGACTTCAATTTAACTATAATCCTAACTTCTATTTAGGTTGTGACCCTTAGAATGACCTGGATGTTTGTTATTACCAAAGGTGTGAAAACAGAGCCACATTGTGATAAGATTTCATTCTCCATTTGTGGGAAGAAATTTTCTTAAGAGTACATTCAAACTTATATTTATGATCCTGCTACGTCTAATGTTTTTAAAGCCTGCATAATTATTTCAGTAGGGCTATCTGGGAACGGTACATACAAAGCATCTTCTGTAATCCACTTTAAGTAACAATTAAATATATGAGTGCAAAATCTTACCCTTGGACTCTATACTGAGAAATCCCAGTCTTTGTTTGTGTGCCTACATAAATGGCCAGTTTATCAAGCAATTACTCATCTGTACTTCCCTGTACTTTCAGGACAAATTATTTACCTGGAAGATATGGCACCCAGTTTTCTTAGTTTGTAATTAATCTGTCTCTCTCCCTGCCTATAACCCTCCCTTCTCTATTTATTTGCAGTTTTAAGACATCATGTAGGAAATAACTCACTGTGAACACAAAGCTGGTTTTCAGATGAGTACAGGGAGACATGAAAGCAGCATACAAGTCCTCCAGGTGGTTTATTTGCAGACACACTGTTTTGTGAATGCAGAGTCTGGATAGAAATCAGACAGAGTGCCACTTGAGGCTGAAGCCCTCTGCTCCCTAATCTTTGGGCTTTGAGACAAATCATTCAGCTATGTGACTGATTTGCATCCAAATAATTTTCTATGCATGAACACAGAACCACTTGCTTTAGTTTTTGTTCCTTTGCTTAATGTTCCCTTCCCTCCTTCAATCCCCTTCCTCACCAGTTTAACCCTCTCACACAGAAAAAAAAGTGAAATAAACTTCTATTACACAAAAGGAAATGTGTAAGGTCCTATAAGGATTCAGCATGGAGCTTACTGAAGTGAGCCACTAATGAGCTACGAAACATTTGTACAAAGCTCAGAAAGACAAAAAGGAGGAGGGAGGGAGAGTGCCTATCTGCCTTGGCTGAATGGGAAGGTACCACAAAAGAGGCTCTTCAAATACCCTTTGGAAGATGGGAAGTTAGCCCAACAGAAGCTAGTGGTGAGGAACAATAATGTAAAACAAAAATGAAGATGGTTTAGCTGAGGGATTTGGTGGGGAGATTAGCCAAAGGCATAACACGAAAACAAATAAGAAGAAATTACTTAATTATAAGAGGTGTAAGCAGGCTGTGAGAGAACCAAAAGGCTCAGTGGAGTACCAGGGTGCAATGGGAACAATTAAAGAGGATAAAGACATTGAAGGAAAATTAAATGATCTATTTGCATGTATCTACCACCAGTCATTTTGAAGAGATACATGAATAATAAAGTTGAGGGATGGTTGGAAAATAAGGGGTCAAATAAGACACGCTGAAAGAAAGTGATACATTTTGGAGCAGATAGTTTCAGTAAAGGCTTTTGACATTACTCTTTCTGAATAGTTAAGCACAAGGTCTGTTTTATGCATGCTAGTGAAATTAATTGGATTATTCAGACAGTTAAAAATATGAAGGTACAGAAGTAATGGCAGCTGAAGCCATTAAGATTGTCTGGTAGTAAGCAAAAACAAACTGTCACTGCAAATACCAACTGTCCCACAAGACAGCAGGCTAACAAATTTTGGACCACTGCCGTTATCTTGGCAGTTGCAGACAACTCATCTGAACATCCCTAAGTTAGTATGCAGTAAGAGCCTCTCTTCTCTAATACTTAGAAGTTGGACAAAGCTCAATAACATTTAGTGAACTGCAAACATGGCATAGATACAAATCAGGTAAGAGACCACATCTTGCTTTGTTCCCTTCCCACACAAAAAATCACCAACAGAGAGCAAAAATACACGCAGAGTTTCTAAGTGGGGAGAGCTGGCACTGCCCTGCAAGGAGGATTCCTACTGTGAGTAAAGTACAGAAGAGGAAGCAGAAAGAAGGACTCAAAAAACATCTTCAGATTGCCCAAAATTATTTGAGCTAATCAGAGCTCAAGAAGCTGGCTGCATTTCGAGTTCTGCATTCAGTTTTGGTCCCTCACTATAAGAAGGCCGTTAAGGTGCTGGAGCATGTCCAGAGAAAGAGAACAGAGCTGGTGAAGGGGCTGGAGCACAAGTCTTGTGGGGAATGGCTGAAGGAACTGGGTGTGTTTAGCCTGGAGCGAAGGAGGTTCAGGTAAGACCTTATTGCTCTCTACAACCTGCCTGAAAGAAGGTTGTGGCAAGGTAGGAGTCAGTCTCTTCTCCCATGTAAGAAGTGATAGAACAAGAGGAAATGGCCTTAATTTGTTCCAGGGGAGGTTTAGACTAGATATTATGAAAAATCTTTTCACTGAAAGGGTTACCAAGCACTGGAAAAGGCTTCACAGAGAAGTGGTTGGGTCACTGTCCCTAAAGGCATGTAAAGATGTGTAGATGTGGCACTTAGGGACATGATTTAGTGGTGCACTTGACAGTCCTTGGTTAATGGTTGGACTCGATGATCTTAAAGGTCTTTCCCAAACCTAAATGATTCTATTATTCTATGAAAAGCTTAGAAAGAGAGACATGAGCAACACAGCAGATCAATGCAGGTGGAGGAGGGAGAACCCAGGAAGAAATATTTCTAATTGTTCCCACACACAGCCAAGGTATGCTATTAATGAAAAAACCCTTGGAATCCAGTCAGCACTGGTTTTTGAACAAAAGAAAATCCCAACTTTCATTAATGTGTTCTTGGAAAAACATTTGGGTTTTTTTAATGTATGCATTTATTTCAGAAGATTAAACCTCATCTCTGCTGAAATAAGTACTGGGGATTCATGTCTTGATTCAAACTTATGATCATGAGTAACTACCCTGACTCTTTGGTATCACAGGGAAATGGCAACCTCTGTAAGACCTGACCTTCACATCTTATGACCTTCTGGTGAGGAAAGGACCCTCATATGAACCATGCACAATGCAGGGTAGCCCTTGGCTAAAGAATCACCAGTAAGTTCAAAATGAAGAATCGTGAATAAACATGGTGACATACTCGACTACTCCTGCATTGGA